AAAAAGCACGCACTTTTTGCATATCTGTGGTCATGGGCTTTTTGCAGACCCCCAGAGATCATCACAGATTGTGTTTTCCACAGGCCTCATTCCTGCCTGAGACATTCCCTTTCTCTGGGGACGTATAACCCTGGGGAATGAGATGGCAGGGGAGGGGGTGCAGGTGTTTGCACATGTTCATATATATGTTTACATGTGCGCCTGTGTTGTTGACATCCCTATGCTTTACTTCTCCAGACAGCTCAGCAGTTCCTCCTCCTATAGTGGGGACATCAGCAGGCACCACAGCAGTACCGCAGAGCTGCAGAAAGCCGAAGCCAAGAAGAAGACTTGGAAGCTGATGGAGGCTGAGAAGGCACAGACAGGGCAGGTGAGATTTGCTCCTTGAGTGATGATGGTGGCTGCAGCTTACAGAATGCCCACTATGCAAAGTGCCTTGTCTACAATACACTTGTAAAGGTACTATTTACTGCACCAGAAACTGAGGCCAGAGAGGTTTAGTGACTTACCCAAGGTCACTGCTGGTAAGCGGCAGAACTGAGATTTGAACCCTAGCAGACTCCTAGGTTGGTGCTTGTAGTCTCTGCTCTACTGACTGCCACATCGATTTGAGCAGCTTAGGGGCTCTCATTAGCTGTAGGTGACCTGAATGCTTTAAATCAGGGCTTTTTGCAATGTGGGGTTCAGTTGTGCCTGAAATGGTTTCAGGTTGTGTGCAGACATATTCAATGACAGATGAATGTTTTATTTTTTATTTCTTTTTTGAGATAGAGTTTCACTCTGTCACCAAGTCTGGAGTGCAGTGGTGCGATCTTGGCTCACTACAACCTCTGCCTCCCAGGTTCAAACAATTTTCCTGTCTCAGCCTCCCATGTAGCTTGGATTACAGACACTGGCTACCATGCCCAGCTAATTTTTGTCTTTTTAGTAGAGACAGGATTTCACCATGTTGGCCAGGCTAGTCTTGAACTCCTGGGCCCATCTTCCCTCCTCAGCCTCCCAAAATGCTGGGATTACAGGTGTAAGCCATTGCACCTGGCTTGTTTTTCATTTCTCATTTAGTCCTTATGATTATGAGAAAGTCTCAGTTGGGTCCTAGCCTGCTTTCAGGACCTAACAGTTGGTAGCCTCTCTCTGTAACAAGGAGAGTGCGTTTCGAGCTCCTGTTTTATTTATTTATTTGTTTAAAAGATCATGTTGGTGATCCAATGTTTATTTTTAAAAATAAATGTGATTACGTTTTTTTAAAAAAAATAGGGAATGGAATTTTTTAAGTAGGTAAAAAATAAGCATACAGATAAAGAAAAGCAAAAAAAAACCCATGAAAAGCGGGGGAGTGAGGCTGCGTCACTTTCTTTTAAATCTGCTCTATTGTTAAAAGAACTAGAGGAGCAAAATCAAACAAATTCAAAAGCTAGCAGAAGACAAGAAATAACTAAGTTCAGAGCAGAACTGAAGGAGATAGCTAGAGACAGAAAAAACCCTTCAAAGAAATCAGTGAATCCAGGAGGTGGTTTTTTGAAAAGATCAACAAAATAGACCACTAGGCAGACTAATAGAAAAGAGAGACAAATAGATGCAATAAAAAGTAATAAAGGGGCCGGGCGCGGTGGCTCAAGCCTGTAATCCCAGCACTTTGGGAGG